GTGGCGCTAAACCTATTTTGCCCTCCTACCTCGCTTCCTGGTTATACTCTTACAGCAGTATGTTGCAGTAAGCTTGACAAAGACATTTTTGATTAATGCTCAATATTGAAGCGTGGTCTGCGATACACGCTGTTGGTCTAGATACGGCCGAGGCGTTGAAGAAGTGGGGGCGAGTTTAGTCCGACGACGGAGGAACCTGAGGGCGTAAAAATAGCAAAGATCCAGGTAGAAAGAGGATCCCAGCATTCTCGCGCACCTCGCTCTTCTAGCGGGTCAAACTTCACGAGTTGTTTTCCACAATTTCGGTCATAAAAACAAAACAAGCCAGCCTCCTGTCTGCGGCACTGTTTGCGGTCAGCTACAATTTGGGAGAGGGGCAGCGGAGCGTCTGTGGAGGGGACCGGGGCGCCTGGAGCCGAGGTATTGAATTGCACTCATTGCACTGATTTTGTGCAGTATTTTTTGATGCAACTTTTCAACTTGTTATTTGCTGTTGTTTTAAAAAAAAAATGCATAACGATATTACAGCTTTCATTGATTTATTCCAAATTTGAAACATTCCAGCCTGTAAGGTGTAAAAAAAAAAGAAAAAAAAAAAAGAAACAATTAATCGAATCGAACCGTGGTGTATTCTTGAGTATCGAAGATCATCGAATCATTGGGTCAGGAAATCGATACTGAATTGAATCGCCATGATGGGTGTGATTTACACCCCTACTTATCATCCAGCAAAATATGTTATTGTGACAGGCCTATTTTCTAGTTCTTTTAATCTAAAATAATGAATTATTGCTTATTTGCACCAATAAGTCTGTACATACTCTTTATGAAATGTTGACAAACTTTCAAATGGTTGTTATTGTAAGAGGACTCTCTTTCCCTATTAAAACCACATCTACATAGGCTAACAATAATTCCTCTCCCTCAATATCTAACAGCCAGTAACCTCTGACCAAAGCACTTGACAGTCCCAAACCTGAAGTACCACAGAAGCAGAGTGGCATCAACACTTGGCAGCACCACTGTGGGCAACATGTGTAATGAATGTGAAGCAGAGCATGTTTATTCATCAACTTATTCCCTGCGAGAAAAAAATAAATAAAAAATCACGAAAAGCACTTAGGACTGAAGGCTAAAGCTGAATAATTACCCAAGTAGTGAAATAAATCTAACTGGGCTTCAAGTAAATAACTGAAAATTAGAAAGAACAACTAAGAAATGAAAGAAACAAGACATTGCCACTGATATGACCTCAAATCATTCTGTTCTTATACATTTTAATTTAACCCTAACAGAAAAAAATAATAAAATAAGACAATAGAAAAAAGGGCTGCAATTTCACTCCCACTGAAAGTGATTTAATTGGCCAAACATCCTTATTTGAAATTGTGTTACATGATTCTCTATGTTAAGCTGTTCTGTCCCAGCCACTACTAGGACAGAAGGAAACTTAACTATCACAGATTTATGATCAGATCATTTCAATTGCATTAGGCTAGCTTCATTGCCTGAGGGTAGTTACTAAAATTAAGGCAGAAGAGAAAAAGAAAAAAAACATTAGTGGAGCTAAAGCTCGCCTCTTTAATTTTCCGTGTAGTCATGATGATGGCAAAGAAGATTATAAATCTGACTATAAATCTGGCAGATCTTCATGCCAACATGCACATCATTCACCTTTTCCCCTTGGATCACCATCAAAGAAGGCCAACAGGCATCTTCCCTGGCAGAATGAACAGATGATTACACATATGCTGCAACCAGGAAAATTAACCTGTCATGTGCTCTCCAAAACAGTGCCTACTTGATATCCCAGGTCTATTTCAAAGGCAAAAGTATTTATGAAAAATGCAAAACCCAAAGGATATTACTGAGGGATGGCTCATGAAATCTAGAGATGAAGGCAAGTTCTTTGACTTTTATATTTCAATTTTTACGAGGGTATAGGAAGTTGATGATCAAACATCATAAAGCATTTTTAATAATTACAAAAGCCACATGGGGGCGAGAAGAAGACCTTTAAAATACTCAGCCATTAGATTCCACTGCTGTGTTCTTATGTTGTACCGCAACACTAAGGGAAAAGGGTAAAAAGTAAGTAAGTTGTAGGGGACAAATAGTCTGTTACTGTTTTTATGCATCATTATAAGATGCTCAATTTGTACATCTTTTGAATTATCCTGCACAGTTTCACATTTAATTTATTCTGAATACACAGTGTTTAATAACCATACAGCATTTTTGGCTCTGTAAACTTTTCACTTCCTGATGAAAATGCAAGAATTTACTCACAAAGGATGTTTTTTTTTTATTTTTCTTTTCTATTCTAATATTAATGTCTGCAACATTACAATCATATTTAACTGAAAGTTGTAGTATTGTGGGTGGCCCGCATTAAAACTCTATTCCAACAATATATCTGGGTAATCTGCCATAATTACAATGGATCTGTTTCCCTGTTTCGGAAAGGTCAGTGGCAGTGGATTGGAAGTTGATGATTGGAAAAAGGAGCACAAAGGATTAATGCAGATAAATTTGAAATTGTTAACAGGAATATCCCTATGACAACTGTTTCTAAAATCCAAAAAATGTAACTTAATAGTTACATTTTTAATAGATTTAACTATTGTAAGAAGTGATTATCCCTTTCACTTCTAAGATAAATTTTATGTATAAAAAAGGGTGATGTAATGTGTGCATGACAACAAAATTTAGATGTCTACAGTACAGTTTTAATGTATTATAACTGTTACCTTGACAAAACGTTTTGCTTTTGTGAGGTTTATGGGTGTACAGCTAAGTAGAAGATAGAAGGTCACCAGACAGAGATAACTTTTAAAGTAAAAGTTGATACGTCTGTGGAAGTACTGTAGGTGTACAGCTTGAACACACTGCTTCCGTATTTGATGTATATCAGAATGAGATTTTTGGACCTCCACCAATCTGTGTCCAGCTGTAATTTTGTTAGGGAAAGAGAAGGTCTTTGTTTTCCAAAGACAAACAGGGTTCTGTTGAAAATGTGTGTCAATTCCAGAAACTAAACGAAGGCCTGCTATATAACATGGCTGAAGGTAGTGACAGAGTACCAGCACCCACAATGAAATCATAAAGGCTCAAAATGTCGGAGTCCAGGACTCCAAAAGAAACAGAAAAAACACAAATTACAGCAGGCAAAACACACAGAAAAAAGTACAATCCTTCACTTAAGATGCAACTAAAATTAAAGTGTTTGGTTATACTGACTACTGATACACTAGAAAAACAAATTCATGCATCCATCTTTAGTAGAATAAATTACTGCAATGGTATTTTCTTAGATCTACCTTAATAACTGATCAAACGGCTGCAGTTGATCCAGAATCCTGCTACCTGGGTCTTCACCAAAACTTAAAATGTGGAGCATAGCATGCCAGTTCTGAAATCATTACACTGATCTCCCGTATCTCGTGAAATAGACTTTAAAATAGCTCTCTTGGTCTATAAAATTACTCAATGGCTTAGCTAAAACAATGATTAGACTTGCTTTCATTGTATCAACCACCCAGAACCCTTAGGTCTACTAGCTAAAATCTACTCTGCATACCCAGAACCATAACCTATTCGGTAAATTTATGTTCTTATGCTCCACATGTTTATCAGTTTTTAGTTTTGATAGATAATCACCTTATGTTAATTATTCACTTTTATTTTTTTTTTATTATTTTGTGTTGCCTCTATGCTAATGCAATGTACTTTTCTTATTTGAACTCATGTAAAGCAGCTCTGATAGGAAATTCCAGCAAGCTTTCATGAAAATTTGAGGTATGAAGCCCAGATTGTATGACCAAAGTACAACAAATGTATAAAAAAATTTCACTTAAAAAAACTCAGTCCTGCTTAAACCCTGCATTGATAGGCACATATATACAATTATTGGATGAATTACATTTACATTCAGCAAGTGGATATACTTTTGCAAATTCTAATAGTCTTATAGTTGGAAAAGACAATGTTTAAGAAGGTGAGAACAAAAAAAAAGTTTTCAAGTGAACCTATCAAGCCTTACCTTTCCAACAGTTATCAAAATAAGAGGTCATCATTTTAAAGTAAAATAACGAGTACTTAAATTCATCTTATTAAATAATTCATATTTAAATAAAATGTGAAAATAATTATAGCTACACATATTTAACTACAAATCAATCACATATTTAACTACAAATCAACTCCTCTAGTACCCTTATTAGTTTACACTGTCTTCCACACATCACCGACATATGCATCTTCAAAATGTAATAAAAACGTACTAGTAAAATGATTTTGAAACCAGTGATTTGGTAAAAGATTTTAAGTAGAAAAAATTGTGATGCATAATAAACTTTCTCTGTGGGAACTGATTACAGTTATGAAAGGAATTTATAGGCAGGCTACACCTCCTAACTATATTTCCCCGTATTTAAGCGCTAGCTGCAAAGCTAAAGTCACCGGCATCCCACTAATAAGGGTTTTAACTAACAAATCAAAAACACGCAATTACAAAAATCAAAACAATATGAATACTACAACAGATATATTGGATCTTTTTGGCTGTTAGTTTTAAACCAGTAGTCCTTAAATAAGTAAGCATTTCTTTAAACTCAACTATCATGCTAGCCAGCATGCTAAAAGATGTCACCAAAAGGTAGCCGTTGACGCTAGGCCTCATTCCGTTTAAGCCCTTTAAATGATTAAACATACACGACACTACAGAGAAAAATAATACAAGGCAACAGCTGTGTTTACTTCTGAATATTTGTTTTAACTATGCTGTTTTTTTACATTTTAAAGTACCTTGATACGTTGGTTTCTAACAGTTAGCTTCTCTCCCAGTTGCTTCACTCCGTTTTCAACGCACGTTCCACAACAATTCAACGTGACATGTGATTGGCTAGTGAGGCAAAGTGGGCGCGACTGCGTTCCCCGCTTCTCTACATTGTGCCATCGAATTGGAGAGAACAGCGACATCTGGTGATTAGATTAATAAAGGCCGAATTAACAGGCTGTTACCGAACCTTGGTCAATAAAATAATACTGAAATATCACCATTTAATTAAAAGGATTATGGAAAGATTAAGGTTTGACCGAATTCTATTGTTGTCACTTTTACTTATATCAATTTACAAAGCAAGATCAACACACCAAATTGAAATTATGGCTGATACTTAATATCACCTCAACACTTTAAATGCCATTTTCTTCTAATCCAAGAACCCATCCATCCATCCATCCATCCATCCATCCATCCATCCATCCATCCATCCATCCATCCATCCATCCATCCATCCATCCATCCATCNCCATCCATCCATCCATCCATCCATCCATCCATCCATCCATCCATCCATCCATCCATCCATCCATCCATCCATCCATCCATCCATCTCTACTAATATCTACTTAAAAATTACCCTCAGTTAATGCATTAAATGCAGCTAATTTACAACTATAAAAAACATAAGAAAAAAAAAAGACCCACAGTAACATAATACACATTAAACAGACAATACCTTTTTACTTAATAAAAAAACAAACTGTATTAATGTGTTTGATTCAAGATAGTAGAAAGCTGTATGGCAATGGCCATGTCAAATGAGAGATAACCAACAACATTTTTACTCTTAAACACCTTTGAAAATGATTGTTTGTGTGATAATAGTGCAGTTAATGTCAATGAGTAACTGCATAACTCCTCTAAGTTCCATAGTTGTCTAGCTCTGAGTTTTGCTCGTCAAATATCTGTGACAGAGGCAGAGAGCATCACAGTATTAAAAACAATCTGAGCTAAGAGTGACTGTGAAAATCCATGAAAAAAGAAAAGTTATAAGAAAAAAAGAAAAGAAAGAAATCGCCATTGTCTAGTCAAGACATCTAGTTCAGAGATTTCACAAAAAAATATAACATTTGATCTTTTTTGCAAGAAACTTTATTCAATATCATACATTTTTTAAAAAGCAGGATAGCCGTTCAAATAGAAATAAAAAAAGCTTTAAAAACCTTATGTATGCAATATTGCTACTTATGCTGCGCGTGTCATTCAAATCCACCAATATTGGTTGCTTGTATTCCAGAACATTCTGCAAATAAAACACAAGCATACACAGTGTGCCCTCTTTGACACCAAAAAAAAAAAAAAAAATAACACTCAGACTTTCCCTCTTATACATATATTACTTTACTGGGAAGAATTATCTGTTGCTATAGTTACAGTTTCTGTAGTCAGCTAGTCCTCCACATCAGCAACACCTTGAATACCCAAGGTATTTTTAAATCTAATTTACAGTCCATATTGCAAGGTGTGGCAACAGAGCACCTCTCTGCAGCTTCATGACATCTGAAAATATTCCCAATCACTGATTGTTGGGAGCAAGAAAGTTACAGTTTGTTCTTTAATGATCTAGCATCAAATTTATCCCCTTTAAAGCTTCGTTTTTTTTTTCCAATGCCTTTAAATGAATCACCAGAAGAAAAACTGTAGGGAGGTTGAGTAAGATGCAGCTCTCTTAAGCATTCAGGCTTATGATATAGTTAAAGAAATTAGTACGTTTTGTCATAACATAACAAAATTCAAATTATTTTACTGGCATTTTATGCCAAAAAGCAGAGGTTGGTAGCATAGCCAAATGATTTTAATCAAGTTAAAGTAATTCTGTATATTTCTAGTAAAGTCTAACAATCCAAAATAGAAAGTAGTTAAAAATGCTACTCAAATGCTGAGAAAGTGTTTGTTCATAAAATCTGATTTCATTTATGACCATGATGTGACAGAAAAATAAAGTAAAATGTGTTTGCATGTTACAACAGTGTAAGGTACCTCCTATGATAATATAAATATGATATTCAAAATTCAAATCGCACGGCAGACTCAGCTGGTAAAAACTGACATCTGAATATTTGTTTCATTCTATGCATTTATTTACAGAGTCATTTAAAAAAGCCATCTTTAAAGCTATACAACCAAAAAGTGACCTTCTGTAAAACAAAAAAGATGCCACATATGGCAAAAAGCTAAACTTGCATCATACCCTGAGTGTATGCTATATACTCTATACTGAAACATGGGGGTGGTAGAAACACACTATGGGATGCTTTATTCTGCAGGGAGAAGCAGACAGAGTGGATCCAAAGATGGATGTTAACAAACACAGGAAAAAAATGTGTTATAGGTTGCAAAACACTAGACAAGGATGATTGTTTATCATCTAGCAGGAAAATGATCGCTAACCATAAACCCAGAGCCACTACCAGATGGTTTTTTCATGCATTGGGCACACTGAATAAAGTTCAGATCTAAATCTGCATAAAAAGACTCAAAAATGACATTGTTACAAATTATATTTCTCTTATTAGATTGAGTTTTAGCTTTTTTTCAAAGAAATGGTAAAAAATTATCTTTAGACACGCAGAAGTAGAAAAGATATTTATTCACAGGTAGCACTACATATTATTGATTCAGGGGTAATGGATGCAAATGAGTGCCATTCTTCTCAGATCTTGTCTAAAAAAACATGCATCCTTTATCTTTTACTTTAAAATAAAAATGGTGTAATTAGTCGTTACATTTTGCATTTACAATAAAGAATTACAGTAAATTTAAGGGGTTAAGCTGGGTCTTTTATATTTCTCCCTTTCAATACCTTGGTGGGATGCTGCAAGGCAAGAAGGCATGCCAAACCTCAAAATAGAGCACAGGTGCTGTTGTTCCTGAGGGCACTAAGGTCATTTGAACGTACAGTAATGCAGGGAACAAAGGCATGTTAAAGTAAAATAAGAATAATGGCTTTGAGGGCATCATTAGTTCTTCTTTTTATAGATACAGTGTGAAGAGGATCTCAAAGAAGATGACGATTTTCAAAGAAATGTTAGTAAATATGTTGATAGACATTGTTCTTTTGTTATATTGCACTTAGTGAATTATTGGTTACAAAATATCAATTATACTTAGTCTATGTACGTTTTTGCACATTGAATTACATTTTCTATATTAAAATCAAAAGTGCTGACAGCTATTGAATGTCTTGGGGGGCATCTTTTGACATAATGGACTTAATTGTAATTAAAAATCCACCTCTCCATTAAAAAAAAATCAAAGATTCAGATCAACTGCAACGTATAACAGCAGAATCATCAAAGTAGAAAGTCTGATTTTTCAGATAGGTCCTGCCCCAACGCTCAATTCCAGGATCCTAAAGATCAATAATAGGTAATAATAGGTAAGAAAATACCATAAATAATGTTTTTCTAATAAATGTTAATAAACTATTTATAACTCTTTATAAAAAATGCAAGAATGGGCAATTAGTTTCAGGCTAACAAAGTTAAATTATGCCTTGGTAAAAGAACAAAGAAAGATCAAAGTGACCTTGTCTTGCAAGAATGTGTGTGTTTAAAATATAATGAAAAACACACAAATGTCTCTGGGTCTCTTCTCTTGTGGACAGTATGCTGTTACTGGGCCAATTAAAGAGAATAGGGAACACCTGTGCTGCTCAGCACCACTGTCAGCTGTTGATAAGTTGCACACAAAGGACATGGCCCTGCTTCGTTCTTTATCTTAATCTAAATAAACCACACACACTGAGGGACACATAATTTTTCTGAGCCAACTTGAGCCTGGATTCATGTTGTTTATTGGTGTGAAACAGAAAGGCTGATGGCCATCTCTCCAGGCCTCTTCTTTGCTTTTCATCCAATCTGGCTTCTTATAATCTGTTACATGAAGCAACCACTTAACATGAAAAAAACAAGAGCTTTATTGGTTATGGTTGGTTGGCAGGTAGATGGGAATAAAAAAATTTATGCACTTTTCAATTGCAAGAAATTATAATCCGCATTGTGTCACATTTGTTTTAAACATGTTTGGCAACTATTAATATATATTTATTTCCTCTTTGGCTTCCAAAATGATGAAATCTTTCATTGATGTGACTAAAGCAGCTGGGTGATGAAACACTGAGCAATATTTATATAATACAGCATTCAAAATAAAGAAATATGTTACAAAATTCTCTATTTGGTACAACGTTATGGCACAAAAATATACAATACAACATGACTCTGTGCATTACAATGCAATACAATAGGTATGCAATGATATATGATACATGGATGATAATGTAGAGAGGCCTCATCGTGATGAGCAACAAGACAACGTATGGAGTCATGTAATGTGGTATACAGGATACAATGACATGTTCATTTTATGTTAAGTATTATAAGTTATAAGAGAATAGCATGACATACAATTAAGCAGAATTCAGCATGATGCAATAACACGCAGTGCTGTACAACAAAATGAGATGTCATGCAGATATTATTCTGTAACATCAGATAGATTGTATGATGAAATATTATTCATTACAATATATTATGATACAATATTATACAATGTAAACAACATCTTTAAATGGGATTGATTACATTTTTCAAAAACATAATACAATTCAAAACAATATGATACAGCTTGATGCAATTCCATCATGTAATATGTGACATGTTATTATCCTCCATGGTGCATAAGTTATCGCACAGCACAGTAGAGTATGATAAGCTATTAATACAAAACATTACTATACAATATAAATGAAAAGTAGCCATTCAAGAAATTACTCAAGTCAAAGTAAAAAAGGCTATTCAAGTACTGATTTATACTATGAGACACACCAAAATGTAAAATTATGTGCAGATTCTGATATTTTAAATACTATAATAAAATCATTTAGACTACAAGAATTGACGCATAGCCTTACATTTAGTGTCATATATCTCTATAATAAGATAATTAAATGAATGAATAAAGTAAATTATAGCAAATATATGCAGAAGAAACACTTTTCCAAATCATTTTTTTATTCAAACTTATGAAACCTATACTTATAGTAGGTAATGCGTA